GGCGAAATAGTCCGGTTTACACATTCATGTAACGATGGCCGAGGTAAGGAAAGTGGCTGTACAAATTTCTTCTGTACACATAGGCTTGGTTTCTTCTGGTAGATTCCGATTGCTTCAGCTGTTGTATGTAGAAGACGAACTCGTGGAGCAAAGTTAAGATTAGTCGGAATGCGATAAATAATTTTAAATGCAGTATTAACATCAACCTTATGCTCAGTATCAACAAGGTGTGCTAAAATAGAACTACGAATAGCTGCGGAGCCAGCTACACTGGACGTACAATTAGGCAGTTTCATCGTCGTATTTCTGAACATCATCCAGCGTGGTTAAGCAAGGGACAAACAAGATCTATTCGTAGTGCTAACAATTTCATCCAAAAGTGTGTTTAAACTTGAGTCTTTAACATCAATAAGAAACCATCATTAAAGAATACAAGAAAATCCACTCTACCGTTACGTAAAAATATCGCTGATGATTTAACAGCTAGGATATTGAGATCATTTGAAGAAATAGACACAGCACACAAGCCAGCCAGCCAGTACAATCACTTCATTTAATGTTGTGCAAACCAAAAGATCTAACAGAAAAAGAAGATAAGATCAATACCGCTTACACAATAAATTGTAATAAACATTATATTGTTCAACAAATTGAGTGTCACCTTTGAATCCAAATCCAAGAACACAAATTAGCTGTGAATAGGAACGATATGTATTGCTGTTTCATATCAATGCATGTAGATAATTAGGGACACCAATTTGAAGACTGGAATAATGTAGAAATTTGAAATAGAGGAGACAACAGACAGAAATGCCAGGGGATTTCTAGGAGCCTGGTACTCAAGCGAATCAGCCAGTGACTAACAAACACACATTATTACAGAAACGAAATTTAAAAACCAACTATAGAAAATTGATCTGATGCTCGCTAGTGACTTGCTACAGGATGGAGTTTCCTGGAGTTCTAGTGAGAAGTCGTGACCGTTGAGGTCCATCCAGATGTCACGTGTGAGGATGGATGTCCCACCGACGACATTGGTTGGGGTCGCGCTAAATAACGAATTCATAGGAGTTAGAATTGATGGGCTGGCCACTGAATTGAGTCCCAGTGGCTGAATGGTATACAAGCTTGCCTTGTAACCGGAAGGTCCTGTGTTCGAACCCTGTTGGTGGGTGCATAATGCCGATGATTCCCAACCTAGGATGGAACAGTTGTATGACCAGTACTCCCTCCTCGTTTGCAGTGGTTATCTATCATATTACTATTATTCTCAAAAGACTGTATTTTGATTGGTTGTTTCTCACAGAAAGTTAACCTTGCATCTCTCTGTGGCTGTGTCAGATCATCCATATGCCAACTGTACCCGCCTACGCAAAGCCTTTGTTCTCATTTTCTCTCTAAACTATAATTTAATGTAACCATCCCCTTTTCAGGCGTGAGGCTAGCAACCGCACCCTGTAAACAAAGTTTCTACAGGAACTTCAGTACGATGAATCTCCTTGCGCCAAAAGAAAAAGTCTGTGTGGGAACATGGAATGTCCGCACCATGTACGGGATTGGCAAAGCTGCCCAGATCGCAAATGAAATGAAAAGATACGGAATTCAAGTACTAGGGATATGTGAAAGCAGATGGAACGGGAATGGACTCACCAAATTGTCAACGGGTGAGTCAGTGATCTACTCCGGTCACCCAGAGGATAACTACATGCACACCGAGGGCGTAGCTATCATGATGTCACCAACGGCAACCAAGGCCCTGATGCAGTGGGAGGCGATCTCGCCCAGGATAATGACCGCCAGATTCAACTCCAAAGGAAGGAAAGTGTCAGTTATACAATGCTATCCACCCATAAACAACGCAGATCTCAGGAAGAAAGAAGAGTTTTACAGGCAACAATGGACAATACTCCAGTTGGTGATATTAAAATACTAATGGGAGACATGAACGTCAAACTGGGACCAGACAACATCAGAAGGGAACTCATCATGGGTAGAGAAGCTCTCGGAGAAATGAATGAAAATGGAGAACTCTTCGCCGACTTCTGCGCCTTCAATGAACTAGTGATTGGTGGCAGCGTATACAAACACAAGGCTACATGGGTGTCACCAGATGGGCAAACCAAAAACCAAATTGACTTCATCTCAATCTCAAGGAAGTGGAGGCGCAGCCTGCTGGACACAAAAGTAAGAAGAGGAGCAGACGTTGGCTCAGACCGCTATCTCGTACAAGGGACAATCCAAATCAAATTAAAAGCTTTCAGAGAAACAGGAGCTGTAGATGGACCACAAGCCAAGTTCAACACTCAAAAACTGAAGGACCAGGACACAAAAGACATCTTCACTGCAAGCATAAAAGACAAAGCCGAGACACAAATCAACACTGGTGAAGAGGTCAGCGTCGAAAAGCACTGGAACAACTTGAAGACAGTGTGGAGTCAAACCTGCATGGAAGTTCTAGGCAGAAAGAAGAGACAGGACAAACAATGGCTCACTACGGACACTTGGAAACTAATAGAAGAGAGAGGGATGGTGAAACAAAAGATTCTCCAGTGCACCGATGAGCAACAAAAACAGGAATTGAACGCAAGCTACAAGACACTGAACAAAAGAGTAAAGAAGAGTGCCAGAGAAGACATAAGAAAGTATTATGAAGCCATGGCGAGTGAAGCAGAACAAGCTGCAGGCAAAGGAGACCTCCCAACACTCTACCAAACAGCTAGGTACCTATCGGGCTCGAAATTGTGGAGGTGCAGATGCATTCACTCATGTTTACTGTTCTTTCTCCCTCACATTTCTACTCATTATAATCGTCCTTTTGAATCTCTTCTTACTGTACCTTTGTGTGCTACATGGAATGCGACAACTTGTACTTCTGCTGTGTAAAATTCTGTGTTGAAATCCAGTCAGAGTCTCCAACTCTTGTTAACTGATAATATTGAAATTGAGGATTTTTTAAGATTGATTAATATGTTTGTTATTATCAGCATTATTTATCCTTTTAAGCTCCAAATGGAGCTTTGAAGTTTCGGCAGCAGTGGTGTTTATTTTTACAGGATGAGGTTGCTAGTTTCACCTAGCCTAACCTTCCCTCTTTACCTACCGGCTTAGAGAGGTGTAGGAGAGAGGGTCAGTGGCCGGGAATCGAACCGCGGGGCATGTGCGTGTGGTTGGCGAGCATCCTACCGCTGGACCACCGATGCGCTATGATTTATATGGAGATTTGTAGCTCAAGTGGATGATTTAAAATTAGTTGTGTTCTCTAAGCTAACTGGTTGATTTAATTGCGAAGCTTTCGTCGTCTTTCTGGACAACATCTTCAGCGCAAGTTGTAGCATAAAATGAACCGATTTAAATTCTCCATGAATAATAACGATGTAGTTGTATCTCCTGGCAACCATATATATGTTACTTCTTTTATTTTTGTAAACTTTCTAATACCTTAAGACTGGATATGTTCTATGAATTTGCTTTAATCCCAGTGAATGAATATTATTATTATTCCCTTGCGTTCCGAGTGGAACATAGGGCTTCAGCAATACATCTCCACTTTGTCCTATTCTCTACCGTCCTCTTCAGCTGGCTGAGTCCACGACTGCCCATAATCTCCCATTTCCTCTTTGCACGATCTCCATGTCACCGTCGCCCTGATGACTCACTTGTCACTTCCCTATGTGATTCCATTCGAGCAATGCCCTACACTGCGCGCGATGTAGTTCGATGGTCTCTTCAATGTGTTCCCTATCCCCATCTCCACTTTCTCCTACTTATTTGTTGAGTGATCGGCTCTTGGTTGATTTGTTCCCAGTCAGAGTTTCATGTTTTTCTGATTCTTTCTGACCATTTGATCTTCAGTATGGAGTTGGCGAAAGTGGCAGCGGTTGATGTTAGTCTGAAGTACCCTGTTGGAAATCCTTTTCGCGACACGCTGGCCAAGTTTCTGACCCGTATAGAAGCAGTCACCAACTTGACATTAACGTTGAAAATGCGAATCTTATTCCTTGTACAGAGTCATCGCGGAAGATTTCCAAACTGGATAACATTTCATCTCGCCTTTCTTTGTAATATCACATGTATTCATAACCACTAACTGGCTGACTGAGTTTCACCATAGAACACTACACAGAAGTGCAGCAGCAGCAGTTCGGGTTCCCACACTCCATGTAGTACACAAAGGTAGAGAAGAGGAGAAAAGGGATCCAAATGAACTATAATCAGCAGAATTGTGAGGGAGGAAGAATAGTAGCCTAGAAAAACATAAAGGTTTAGTGGATCTGAGAGACTACAAAGATTGAGTGCAACTGCACCATTCAGAACAATTTTGAGTCATTTTACTGATAGTCTGCAGCCATTAATTCTTAGCATCCCAAGGATCCTGCCAACCAGTGTGGTGAGAGCTGTCTGCTAGCCAAAATTGGTAGACAGCAATTCATGTCAATGTTTACGTCCCAAATCTTTGGTCATGAGAAAAAAATCAAGAACAAAGACTAACTCAACAACCAATCACAGCAGACTTTGCGTGGGTGGATACGCTTAGCAGATATATCACCGGATTGTCTAGGAAACGACAACAAAGAGATGACAGAATAACCTTCAGCAAGAAAACAACCAGTCAGAAGACGTTGCTTCTCTGCTAACAATAACGAATAATAATGTACATAAAAATATATAAATATCTCTTGATTTCCTCAATAAAAGATCTGTTGCCTAGCTCTTGTCTTCTATCGTTACGCCAGGATTTCCTACACCTCCCTAAGTACTTGGCTCAAATCAATAATGGAAGGGTTTCATGGATTTAAGCTAGATTTTTTGTTTGACCACCCTGCTAACTCTTCTTTGCAACCTAATCTCATGTCAGATAACATTGGTCCTCGTTGAAGAAAGCCGATGACTTGGCATGCGCCCAGCGTATATCGTGGAATTAATATATACATATACTATACTATAACATACTATACTAATTCCTCTCTCTTTTCTTTTCCTTTACTTCATTCCCCGTATAGATCATCTCAGTATAATGGTACAATAGCTGGTACATTTTTTTTAGTCTTCAGTGTACCACTGATTATATGCAGTGGTTGTTTAACTAGTGCCTTATTAATAATTCAAGAATCTATACAAGACGAAAGAGACTATCGATGTCGTGATCCAGAGTTTTATAAAGATGTGAGTTCACTCCTCCTGTTTACTTTTTTTTTGCTTGTAACATATTTTCACCACTTTACTTGTTAGCCTAGTTAATAACTGATGTATATTTACTAGGTAGATCACGAACTGACAGCCATTGAAAACCACAGGAGTACTTGAGAGCTGCTTCATCCTACTTTTGGACTCTTTAGCACAGTATGTGTCCCAGGGGTCGAAATCAGGACTTTCACGTTATATAATCTATTGACCAGCACATATACATATGGAAGTTAATTACTCTATGGACTGTTATGCATATTTGACTTGAGTAATGTTGTGTCCCAAGTTCGAATCCTATTCCACTTACACTTTAGGCTTCGGAAACTAGATAGTATCACCCACTACTATACACTAAGTATCCGACTTATCACCTGGTACATTCAAAATGTGTTTTTTTAAAGATATCGATGCTGGCTGGCTGGATTCGGCATAGAACTTGGCATTGAATTGCAGCAGTTCGAGTTGCCACGTTCCAAATAGCACACAAAGGTAGACAAGAAAATGAGTGTAGAGAATCAATAGTTTTGACAGATATAAGAGTGAAACAGAATGAGTAATGGTAGAAAGGAATATGAAACATTACAGAGACTGAATACATCTGCGTAAGCCATTGACAACGATTTTGAGCCATGTCGCCTATTGTCTCCAGCCATTGATTCTTAGAGTCCCGAGGGCAGGCCCCAACCCGGAAGTCTGCATCTCCCTACCTGATTTAGTTTACCTGTCAAGGATTTCATGCATTGATGGATTCCATGTTTTTGTTTGGCCACCACTTACTCTTTTCCAACCTGCACCTATATCAGCTAGTAATGCCCGTCGGGGGAGACGATGGTTAGGCATGCACAGCACGTGACCTTGCCATCTCAATCTATGTAACTTCATAGCCTCTTCGATTGATTTCCCCTCTTTGCCCATCACTCTACGCCTAACGTCAACATTACTTACCTTATTATACCACCTAACGTGAGAAAGAGATCGTAAACATCTATGATCAAAAACAATCAACCTTTCCATGTATTGAACTCGTATTGGCCATGTTTCAGAGCCATAGAGAAGGACGGAGGGAACTGCTGAGCAGTATACACGTCCCTTAGCTATCGATGCATATGATACACAGATGATTTTTTTGTCTAGTGTTGCACAAACTCGAAGAACTACAGGTGAAAACCAACTATTTGGGAGAAGAGACTTCCTGGTGAAGTTAGGACTTCAAGTGACCCATGACCTCCTTATGGATAAAATTTTATTCACAGTTAATATTTACTGACAACCTCGTTTCGAGCACAATTTATTATTGGTCATAATGATATCAAGGCGCTACTCGCATAACTTTCTTGCTTCACTTAATAGACATGAGTAAAAATGGATTAGACGTATAAGTAAAATCAATATAAGACATGCGTGAAAAAGAAAGGAAGATAATGTACATTCGGAAACAATACTAGTGTTTAGAACAACACCTGCTTAAGCGAACAATACTGTGGTTTCAATTAGATCTCATCATCAGTATTAACTCTGATATACATAACTTAACAAATAGAAATTCAAATATAAACCAATCATGGTGTTTTGCCAATAGGATAATAAGATGGTGCGTATAGATTGTGCAATTAGTCATAATAATAATAATAATAATGGTTTTATCAATAATAAGGATGAAAAAGTGAGGCAATCTGTGATAAGACGAATAATGGAAAAACAGCATGATTAAACAAACAAATGTTCAGGTGGAAGTAGTCGATAAAGGCTAGTAAAAACAAATGAACCGATTAAGTAATGCTAGCTTGTAAAGGAAGTAAATGAAACACATTTTTAATGAAAATGTTATAAGATTAAGGGATGATAAGAAAGGGGTTGAAAATACAAGTAAGGGATGGTGTAGAAGTCATCAGTTGGTAATGTCTTAATAGGCTAACAAGGGAGGGATAATGGCTGTACGAACTTCTTTTGGATGCATAGTTTAGGTTTAATATAGTTCGAATGCCTATCGCCTCAGCTGTGTGCGTGCAGTAGACGAATACGAAGTCTATTGGAAAGATTCGGTGGGATACGATGAATTACTTTGAAAGCTCTCGTTTTCTCCACTACATGACCACTATCAATATTAGTGTTATCAATAATTATAATACGATGTGGATTAAAAAGAGTATTGTTAGTCAATAAGATGGAAAATAAGATGTTCTTTTTATAGTAAAATAAATGAGTAACTTGTTAGAATGTTATATTGTGAATTGAATTGAAATACATTTTAACATTATTTATTATCCTTCTCTGATTTGACTGGTGTTAATAATATCTTCCACACATATCTCTGGTATTTCCGTTGAGTCACTTCATCGAGTCTATACCCAACACATGCAACAGAAATGACTCAACGCAAATACCAGAGATATGTATGGAAGATATTATTACCACCAGTCAAATCAGAGGAGGATAATAAGTAATGTTAAAATGTATTTCAATTCAATTCACATTATAACATTCTAACAAGTTATTTACTTAATTTACTATAAAAGCATCTTATTTCTCATCTGATTGTATTTCATTGATAACATTAATATTACTTCCGAATGTACTTTATCTTATATTGATTTTATTCAAATGACTAATCATCAACTTCTTACTCATGTGTATAAACGAAGCAAGAAAGTTGTGTGAGTATAGCCTTGAAATGACTATGAGCAGTAATCGATTGTGCTCGAAACGTGGTTATCATCAGTAAATATTACTCACTGCATAACACCATTGTGTATGACTTTATCAAAATAAAATTTATCCATCATAAAGTGGATGCTGAATGCTCAAACAGGACAAGACTCTCTCTAGGTTAATGAAACAATACCAGGGGTACAATTATGTCTAACCTCCTGCACTGTATTTAAATTTTAAAATAAAATATATTCAAATGAATGGGGTGGCAATAATGGGATCACCAATATATCCGATGACCACCACCACCAACAACAACCACACAAGCATCAGTCACCGTCAGTGAGAGAAAACTTAAATACGTTCAGTCACCTGTGTTTTACTTACCTAGAAAGCATCGTTTCAGTTACAGCTACAGGTAGGTGGAAGGTGGCACGCATGATCATGTCAAAGCCAATCACAATCAGGAAAGCAAGACATACCTCAATTAGAATTTAATTGGTGGATGGTGACTAGCAGTGGAATCCAGGACGAGCATTTCGTCCTATTTGGGACTCGTTCGGCAGCTGGATGTACCTGCATTCCCCAGTGAGTAGTGGATGATGTTCCCACCGAGGCTCAAACCGAGTATCCATAGTTCCAAACGCCAAAGCGTTATCCACTAGACCACTTGGGCTACAACAGTCACCTCTTTCTTGTGCAATGAGTCTTATTAATTATTTAATTCAATTTTAGATTTTCCCGTTGATTGATTTGACCGAAGGTTAACATGTCGGCTTCTTGTGCAGATGGAACTATGGGCACTGGGTTCGAGCCTCGGTGGGAACATCATCCACTACTCACCGGGAAATGCAGATACATCCAGCAGCCGAACGAGTCCTAAATAGGACGGAAAGCGCATCCTCGATTCCACTGTTAGTCACCATTCACACATTAAATTCTAATTACATGCTCATACATCGTCGAAGCATCTGCACAAGAAGCCGACATGTCAACCTGAAACCGAGCACTTCGGTCCAATCATTAATCGACGGGATTATCTAAAATTCAATAAAATACACCTCAGTTACACTCAACTTTCAAGGAACAAGATCTAGATCTTCAACACTAATATCAAGTCAATGCTTCTTTATCCTTCCTAGATATATGGAGCGTATATCATCGAAAGTATTTCCAATAGGCTACTGCAGAAACTTGCACCAGCACCTACCCTTTTCGCTCGATACTGAAGATCAGATGGCCGTTTGGCTGGCCGGCCAACACTACTGGTTAATGCAAGCTGGTATACAACTAGGCATCTCAATCAAGTCATTGCCATTGTGATTACCATATATGCTAGTATCAAGCAGATCTCACAGTTGAATAATTTCAGTTTCCAAATGAAACACTAGTGAAATTCCGCCTTCTCGAACAGTGTAAACTACAATTATTTTTCCCTTTACGTTCCCAGTGGAACATATAGTGTCTTCACGCTAGAGAGAGAGCTTCGAAGTTTTGCGAGCAGTGGAGTTTACTTTTACGGGATGGATGGAGTGCGTCAGTGGCTGGGGATCGAACCCCGGACAACATGCGTGGTTGGTGAGCATTCTACCGCTGTGCCACCGACACACCTGTGTAAAATACAGACGAATTCGCAATTGGCGAACTTGATCTATCTGTCGATATGAGTGACTTCGAACTACTCAAATCTACCAGTGATAGTGTAACGATAGAAGACAAGAGCCAGGCAATAGATTGTTTATTTAGAAAATCAAGAGATATTTATAGATTTTTACGTGCTTTATTATTAGCGTTATTATTAGCAGAGAAGCAACGTCCTCTGATTGGTTGTTTTCTTGCTGAAAGTTATTCTGTACTGCTTGTGACCGTTTCGTAGAAAGTTAAGCCATATATCTGCGAATCGTATTTGCACATGTTAAGTCTGCTGTGATTGGTTGGTGAGTCCCTCAAAGTTAAGCTTTGTAAGTGTTTTTCTCTCATGACCCTGATTCGGGACGTGAACATTGAAGTAAATTGTTGTTTACAATTTTGGCTTGCTCGCAGTCAGCTCTCGCCACAATAGTAGTTTATAGCTGTATATATCATAAAGAAATCATTAGTAAAGTAAGTACCTTTTTTAATCGTTCCGAGTGGAACGCAAACCTTCAAGCTTCTCTGGAGTTTCAATAGAGATGGTGTCGTTTTTTATGGGATGGGGTTGCTAGCCTGGTCTGGAGCCTAAGCTTCCCACCTTTCGAAGCCTACCGGCTAGGCGAGTGCGTCAGCCGCTGGGCAATTAAACCTGGATCAGATGCCTGTGGAGCTTGGCAAGCATTCTACCATTGTAACCACTGACGTCCAGTAAAATGTATAATTTATTTATTGATTTATTTATTTCAGATACCGTATCCACGTCAACCATTCAAGCCAACGCCATCCACATCGTCAGTACCGCCTACACCATATCCTTCTGCACCTATGCCAATATTTGATGTTGATCAGTTGAGAAGTTTCGTGCCATCAGATCATCAATATGATGCTGCCTATCCGCCTAGTTATCATAACACAGTTACTAAAAATGATTAAAAAAAATTAGCGAAGCCAGCTAATTAACCAATGGAGTTATACAATTATACAGTGATATACACATACGTTAAATGTACTTATATCTGTTAATCCTTGTGTAAGTTTATTTTGGGCTATTATTGGAGGTCAAAACAAATGATTCAGCGAAGAGACTCTTTTCAACGAATTTATCATCAAGCTGTACAATCGTATATATATGGACTTATTTAAGAAGTTATATCCGGTGAGGGAATTAAATCGTAGGTGTGAATGCATAAAATAATAACAATAATAATATGAAATGCAATTAAAACTAAAATGTTTGTGATTATAATCGTAGTTAAATGTCAGTGTTCACGGTCATAATCCCTGTATGCTAAAGTATGGTAATCCCCAATCTTATTTTAGCTCTACCGATTTTTCATTTTTTCATTTTTGTCTATTCAATTTGTATACTCTTCCTTATTACGTCAATTGCTACTATAACTACTCTCACTTTTAATTGTCCCCGGTATTATTTCACTTGTTCCACTTGTCATTCTAAATCAATTCCTTTATGCAACATTAAGTTCTATGCTATTAAATTTCACACAATATTACGTAACGTTTTTATTTTATTCGATTTGTCTACTAATCTTATAATTGCACACCTTTTTCAAGTTCTATCCATCCTATGAATTATTCTATATATGACATTAATTTGCTTTGCCACTTGACATTTAACTACGATTATAATCACAAACATTTTAGTTTTAATTGCATTTCATATTATTATTATTATAATATTATGCATTCACACCTATGTTTCAATTCCCTCACCTTAAAAACCATGTACTTAAACGATTGTACAGCTTGATGATAAATTCGTTGAAAGAGTCTCTTCGCTGAATCATTTGTTTTGGTTTTCTGTATGTTACAATGGGAATTTTCCATGATTATTGGAGGTATCACTTTTTAAAATGTTTGGCAATATACTACTTATTTTACATTAGTAAGTAAACTGATGACTTATGTTTAATGTCACACGCACAAAACTCGAAGGCCTCCAGGTGAACATAGAGAAGACGGAGACGGAGGTGATGAAGATCACCAACCAACCAACAGCAACAACAACCAGCACTAATCACTCACTATCAACGATAGAAATTCGACAGAGGTTAGTTAGTTTGTTCACTTAGATAACTAAGAAGCACAATTCCAACCACAGGCAGTCGGAACGGATGAAGATGTGAAAGCAGGCCAGAATCGGAAAGACAAGATACATCTTCGTCAATCTGAAATCGGTTTTGGAAATCTACTGCTTCACTCACTCAGCATAAAGAACAAGATCCGGATTCTGTTTAACGCCAATGTCAAGTCAGTCAGTTCTTCTATATGGATTTCCAATAAGTTACAGACCTTTATCAACAGCTGCCACCTTCACTAGTTCTATACTGAAGATCACATGGCCAACCAGAAAGAATTGGCAAGAAGAAACTAACCGTGAACCTATCGTTTTACACATATATGTAGGAGAAAATGGAGATAGGATGGGTATATGCTGAGGACACCGTCGATTGACTTCACACCATCGCCACTCTATTGCTCGAGTGGAAGGTGAATGGGAAGCGACAAGTGGGGCATCCGAGGGTGAAACGAAGGAGATCGTGCCAGGAGGAGATGAGAGACTATGGGCAGTCGTGGGTTCAGATGATGAGAACAGCAGAAAATGGAGCGAAGTAGAGATGTGTTGTTGAAGCCCTATGTTCCACTCAGAACCCAAAGAGTCGCGGTCTACACTAGCTCACTGTTTCAAATAGGTTTCTACCTATCGACAGGAGTTTTTTGAAGGAAGCGGAGGGAGAACATTATGGACTAGCATCGGAGCATAGTTCGGATAGATTATCGATTATTATTAGGTCATTTGCAGGTTCTACACAAGAGTTATATATATATATATAATGGAGATTTGTAGCTCAGGTGGGTGATTTTGATTTAGTTGTGTTCTCTGACCTGGATGATTTACTTGCGTAGCTTCCATTGTCCCTCCCCCCACCTACTAGGCAACATCATCAGAGCATACACTTCAATTTGTGAAGTGTGCGTTTAAATCTCTCCACGAGTTAATTAGTCATCTCTCCTGATGGGTGACCTTGAACGTGATTGGTTGCTTTTGTCTGTTTTCACACCTTCTAGTCTACTTGTAGTATTGGTATTGATTATTTCCTTGACCTGAAGTTTGACCTTTTTATGCATGAGATTTTACTCTTATGTACTGGTTAATTTTATTGATTTCAGTGTACCTGTAAATTGCCGATTCACTGGAATACCAGGCTTCCAAACATTCTCTGGCGTTCTTGATGTTTCCTCTGTCTAATATTTGAATGTTGTTCCAGTCGAATTGATATCCTTGGTTGTCTGTATGCAGTGAGTGATATGATGTGTGTATGGATATATTTATGTCTTTTGACGATGAGAGCGTCCACTCTGGCCAGTGTGACGTTTTTCTCAGTTGTTGCAGCTTTTTTTCTGTAGATGATTTTGTTTTTATCTTCTTTCTTTCTCTGTTGAGTCTTTTAGTTGATATAGTGTCGAATGAGATTATTTTGCTGGTTTGTGTGTTATGTCAATTTAACAACATTTTGAAGATGGTGTGTACATAAGCTGATGAGACCAATGAGTGACATCATGGGTTAGTCAGCTCCTAGAAGTGGAACCCAAGTTGGATGGGTATGTAAGTCCGAGTAGTGACATGGAGAAGATCTTGTGATCACAAGGAAATGACAGTTTATGGAGTAATTGTGTGGAGTCAGCTAAAACAAAAACGGCAGAGGAATGCAGAGTGTGAGATGAAGATGTGCGATGTTGTGACGCCCTATGTTCTTTGAACAAAGTTTGGAATGGCAGTCACCTCTCTATCTCAACTTCATCGACTTTGAAAAGGCCTTCGACAGCGTCGATCGAGAGGTGATTTATCAACTACTTCGTTACTACGGGGTGCCGCCGACAATTATACATCTCATCCAACAGTTGTATGACAACGCTGCATGCCAAGTAATCCACAACGGGAAGCTCACGGAATCCTTCGAAGTGAAGACAGGAGTAAGACAGGGTTGCCTACTATCGCCAATGATTTTCCTGATTGCAGTAGATTGGATAATGCGACAAACAGCGGGCAATGAGGAAACAGGCATAAAATGGACTCACACAAAGAACTTGGAAGATCTGAACTTCGCCGATGGCCGTAAAGGATCACCAACAGAGATCTCTGGCAATGAGCGAATCAACCAGGAACCGATTTTGCAACAAATAGGCAGGAAGAAATGGAGATGGATTGGCTGGCCATACTCTGAGGAAACCATCAAGTGACATCACTAGACAAGCCATTGCTCGAGTGGAACCCGAAAGGGAAGCGGCGAGTTGGTCGTCAGTGCAAGGGTGACTTGGAGGAGTTGATGTGAAGAGGAGATGAAGACGTGTGGGCAGACCTGGAGCCAGGTGAAGACTCTAGCAGAGAACCGAACGCAATGGAGACGCATGGCTGAAGCCCTATGTTCCTCTAGGAACTAAAGGAAATAATAATATGTTCCACCCGAAACCCAAGGGAATAATAATCATAATAGTACCAACTAAATTTCAGTAGATCATTAACTCACTTCACTGATACTAACTAAGTATTTCTTCTCTCTGTTCTTTCTGTTACAGGCATTCAACAGTTCTAATAATCACAAGAAGAAAAAAAATAAACGAGAATGTCTCCATAAAACAGCTTCACAGCTTCACTGCTCTTTCGCTTTAGCATTATTATAATTTTATTATTATTATTATTACAATCAGGAGTTTAATGACTTGTTTTTGATATATTATTTATTATTATTATTTTTTGCTTTATTTATTTTATTTATTTATTTATTTATTCAATTATCTATACATATCTGACTGAAAATACATGACTTATCTGCCTTATTCCCCCCCCCCTTCGCGCCTCTCCCCCTTTTATTTACGTTTTTCTACAAATGTATAACTATATATATATATATATATATATATATATATATATATATATACATAAAAGTAATTGAATAATAACAGATTGTGTTTGTGTTCTTTTTCTCTTCCTTCATGTTCCCAATGGAACATAGGCGGGGGGGCCTTCAAGCCAGACAGAGCTTTGAAGTTTCCGTAGCAGTGGTATTTATTTTTACGGGATGCGGTTGCTAGCCAGCCTCACTTATAGCCCAACCTTCCCTCTTCTTTACCAGTCTTATTACTGGCTTACCGAGGCCGCCGGGAATCGAACCCCGGACAGCATGCGTGGTTGGCGAGAATTTTACCGCTGTATGTTTTATGTTCATTCATTTTCATAAGCTGCTGTGCAATAATCGTAATTATATTTAACGAAGAATTCATAAGACGACCTTACGTAATAATGCATGGTGTAGTCTAGACTGGGACGACTAATTAGAAATTAGAAAGAGTGGGGGCAGAAGTTGAAGATTACGTAATAGTTGTGAGAAAACGACTAATCGATACAAGTGTGTGGAGTGTGGACAAAAATTAGTGGAAAGACGATAGAGAGTTTCATATGAAATCTGTATAATAACCCAGTGTTATTAATAAACAGTAATAGAGTGATAATAAAATATGGATGATGAGAATAATAATAATAATACTAGTAAACTTACATAATAAAAGCGAAACAAAATTATAGTGATAACGTTACCCTGGTTACGGTAGGGTGAACACTGTCCAGCTTTGCAATCCAAAGGAGAAAAGAAGGATACCAGCAGCTCTGGACATCGAGCACTCCCAACCATCATGAATGCTACACAGTGTTACACCGATTTCCTCAATATCGCACGAGAGGACTCCGAATACGACATCTGTACATAGCTGAATCATTGGCTATTCGTGATCTGATACCAGACCTCTGCATTCAAAGGCAACACATACATTTACTTACTCACCTTGCTGTGGCCAGAGTAAAGTTCTCACTATATTTCGCTTCATTTTATTATTGTAAGTTCACTATTATTATTATTATTATTCTCATCATGCATATTTTATTATCACTCCATTACTGTTTATTAATAATACTGCGTTTTCATACAGATTTTATACACAAACACTATCGTCTTCAAAGTCAATTTGAACGAAGAATATTCTTTTCAATAATTTCTCCTCTTCAGGTTCATACAGTTATAAAAATATAATATTTGTTGTCGTTACAATAATGATAGCCAGTTATGTTATGCGGCGGATACATTATTTTCAACGTAGAATAACAGATTAGTTATCGTAGGGTGACAAAATAAATAGTCGTATTTGTGTGACAAACGTGCTCTGAGCTGAAATCGATTACAAAATATTTCGGTGAAATGGGAGACAATGGTGATGGTGATTAGTCATAATAGATTTGTAGAGTGTGTGGTAGGAGAATTGGCAAGTCAGTTCAAGGTTATAAAAAGTGTCAGGTAAGTGAGTGGCTAGTACAAAGTGGTATGTATTAAAGAGGGGGTGATAGTAAGACTGCAATGAGAAAGGTTCATAATGAAATAACGAATGTGTGAAATGAAACAGGTGGAGACATAAATTATGGCGAATAATAATAATATATAACCTGGTTTTTTTTTTCTTTGCTTACTATGATAATTATTATCATTATTATTCGTCATAATTTACACCCTTCATGCAAATATTCTCTCAATACTATCGAATTTTCCATTTATACTATCCGGACTTATTATTAGTGATATTATCTCTTTTCTCAATATATGCCTCCACCTGTTTCATTTCACACATTCGTTATTTCATTATGATCCTCTCTCATTGCAGTCTTACTATCACCCCCTCTTTGATACATACCACTTTGTACTAGCCACTCACTCACCTGACACCTTTTATAACCTTGAACTGACTTGTCAATTGTTTTCCTACACCACACTCTACAAATCTATTATGACTAATCACCATCACCATTGTCTCCCATTTCACCGAAATATTTTGTAATCGATTTCAGCCCAGAGCACGTTTTTCACACAAATACGACTATTTATTTTGTCACCCTACGATAACTAATCTGTTATTCTACGTTGAAAAAAAATGTATCCGCCGCATAACTGGCTGTCATTATTGTAACGACAACAAATATTACATATTTTATAATTGTAAGAACCTGAAGAGGAGAAATTATTGAAAAGAATATTCTTCGTTCAAATTGACTTTTAAGACGATAGTGTTTGTGTGTAAAATCTGTATGAAAACGCAGTATTATTGATAAACAGTAATGGAGTGATAATAAAATATGCATGATGAGAATAATAATACTAAGAATAGTAAACTTACAATAATAAAATGAAGCGAAATAAAGTGAGAACTTTACTCTGGCCACGGTGGGATGAGTAAATGTATGTGGTGGTGCCTTTGAATGCAGAGGTCTGGTATCAGATCACGAATAGCCAATGATTCAGCTATGTACAGATGTCGTATTCGGAGTCCTCTCGTGCGATATTGAGGAAATCTGTGTAACACTGTGTAGCATTCATGATGGGTGGTAATGCTCGATATCCAGAGCTGACAAGGTATTGAAGGATAGAGCTGCTAGTATTCTTCTTTCATCCTTTGGTTAGCAAAGCTGGACAGTGTTCAACCTACCGTGGCCAGAGTAACGTTCTCATTACAGTTTCGCTTCATTGTTTTACTGTAAGATCACTATTATTATTATTATTCTCCTCGTTCATATTTTATTACCACCCTATTACTGTTGATTAATAACTGCGTTTTCATACAGATTTTATATAAAAACACTTTATCGTCTTTCCACTAGTTCTTGTTCACTCTACGCACTTGTATTGATTAGTCATTTTCTCATAATTATTACGTAATCTTCAACTTCTGCCCCCCCCACTCTTTCTAATTTCCAATTCATCATCCCAGTCTAGATTACACCTTACATTATGTAGTAGACTTTCGGGGAGAAATTTTTACCAGTAGTATCTGATTGGTCGTCTTATGATTTCTTTGTTAAATATAATTACGATTATTGAACGTCAGTTTATGAAGATGAATGAATCGTTGAAAAAAAATTCTCATCGCTGTTTATGTATTTTGTCAGTTCAATAGTTCTCATTTCAACATCAGGGATTGGAAGACTAGTGAATGGGGTAACTAATGCATTGCGTAACAAGATGAGAATTACTGATAAAACAACATTACAATAAGAAGTTACATTAAATGGAATAAATACAACTGACAAGTAAGATAATACCTGAAATTGTTCAAAGTGTAACTAATAATAGTAACAATCGACATAATTAAGGGAAGGGAAGGGAAGGATATACAAAAGTGAATCAACAAAACCAAAATTAAAAAGTAGTGCCAAGGTGTGAACAGGGATTATCATACTTTAGCATAGACAGATGATTAAGACCATGGAAGCGAGGGAGTGGTTAAATGAACGAGCTTCTTCTTCTGTATACAGAGATCTTTCCTTTTGATTTCAATGACCAAAGCTTCAACAACACGGGTGATGAGTAGTTGAACACATAGTGATTTCGGTACGTTATATTTTGTTTACTTAGCCATACTGGAAGATGTTCTCGAGTGAGCACGAAAAATCAAGTTCCTAGAGCAACGGTCAATGTAACTTGCTCCACAACAAGCGCAGTTGAATTGGCAGATACAAGTGGAAGTGGCTAGTCTAGGTACTTCATCCTTCAGTCGAGGAATAACAACTGGTCGTGTTGAAGTTCTTTGAATCGGTCGGTCGGTCGGTTTTCGACATAGAACTTTGCACATATGTGCGGCAGTTCAAGTCGCCACAATCCATGTAGCACGCAAAGCAAGAGAAGGAAGTAGAAGAAATGCATAATATAGACAGTAAACAGAGGTGTGAGACAAAGGAATAGTAATAACGAAAAACAAAACAGCTTAACTGGAAATTATAAGTCACAAGGAGTGGATGCATCTGCGCCAGCCATTGACAACGATTTTGAGCCATGTCACCAATTGTTTCCAACCATTGGTTTTTACCATCCCGAGGACCCCAACCAGGAAGTCTACATCTTCCTACGTGGCTTAGACTAACTGTTGTGCATTTCATTGACTGGTTCTTTGAATAGATTTTCTTAACTTGTTAGTAATTATTTCACTAGGTGCGTCTCCCTTGAATTGCAGTTGTATACATCAAGTTTTCGTGTTTATGGAAAGTGAATAGTCCTCTTCTACTTTCTTTGTCATGTGTTTCTTGATAAATTTGTCAGGATAGCTATTTTCAATCAAGGTGTCATATACAATCAACGCTAATTTCATCTTCAATTACGTCTTCTGAGCATATAGCTCTAAATCTGTGGCTGGGAGTCTTTATACTGGAGAGGAACAAAGTTATGAAAATGTGTTTATTGTCTTGTCCATGTGCTTTTCCTATGCAAATTTCTTTTTATGCTACCATCCGGTTTCCTTGTAACAAGGACATCTAGGAAGGCAATTCTATTTTGGGATTCCACTTCGCACGTGAATTTCATAGTAGAATGTTCTTCATTGAATTCAGTTATCATTGTGTTCCTATCCGAATCATTATCACAAAGAATGAAGGTGTCATCCATATACCGGCAATAAAATGAGAACTTACTGATAAGGTTGTTCAAAAGTCCATTTTCTAGTTTACTTAGAAAAAAATCTGATGAGAATTTACCGAAAATATTTGAATTAGTTCATCATATGTGTAGATCTTAGAAAATGATGTAAAATTAACAAGATTAGTAGGCGAATAACAGCATTACGTAACATTGCGAGAAGCTGGATTTTTAACACTGATATATATTTAAAACAGTTAGTCCCTTTTATAAATTTTGATAGCATTATTAGAAGACGGAGATTATCTGAAAAATGTGATGTATTAGCGCTATACATTTCGAACAATCTGATCACACATTTACTTGTCAAGTCAATATATATGGAAAAGTTAAATTAAACAAGGTGACAAAAAAAGAATT